AAAATAATAATGTCTTGAGCTCAAATTAAAAAAAATATTTCACCTGTTTTCTCACGAAATTATGAAAAGTTGAAAACTGACAATTTGATGTAACTAAACCACGAACATTCTATTCTAATTTCTCTTTTTTTTTCAGGAAAAAATGTTTATACAGCATGTTAAACGCTATTATACCACAATTATAGGCTGCGAATATCGCCCGTGAACTTCTTAAAGTTTGCTAAATTTTGAGATGTTAACATTTTTATGAATTTTCAAAAACTTTCCAAAAAATTGGAATCAAAGCGGGGCTGTCCTGTCAAGCTATTTGGGATAATGACAACAAATGTATTGAACATATTTTATTGAACTTGATTTTTTTGTTAATACAACTCATTATGTCTGACAAAAACCTGTTGATAGATATAAACATAGTTATGTCTGACAAAATTATGATACTGTTTTCATATTTTTCGTATTTATACAACTGAAGAAACAAATTCTTTCTTTTTTCTATTAGTTGTTTAGCAGTTGTTGTCCGAGCAGTCGTTGTTGTTCCGACTTTCGTAACAAAAGTAACTGAATATTTGGGGTGGAATATTTGGGGTTTGCTCCGGGTGGTTTTTTTCTTCGGAAAAATTCAGCTTTTTAACTAGCCATTTTTGACGGAAAGTAAATAGTGCTTAAAGATTGTCATTTTAACCATTGGAGACCATTAACGCGCAATATATTTTGCGCTATTAACGCGAAAGCGGAGATTTAATCCGTCCTAGAAATCATTCCAAATTGGTTGAAGGAAGCTTATTTGCCTTAAATTATTTGTTACTAGGAGCAAAATTTATCACTTAGTAATTTATTTGGCGTGTGGGGGATGATTTTCACAAATCTCAAATTTCAAAAAAAAAAGTTTCATTTTATTACATTTAACTTTTTCATGTTAATACTGCTCCATAGACCTTAAAAGGAAGTCGGAACATTCAGGGCCTCGCCGTGATACGAGCAGTCTTGTTTAACTTAGTTTTCACTCTTCAGTGAAGTTCAAAATAATAGGTTTAGTGGAGATGATGACGAATCAAAATTTCTAATCCATAAATCAGCACAATACCAGAAAAACAAATTTACCTTCGAATTGAAAGCAAATTTATTGGCTGTGATATAATTGTGTGATGTTGTTACTTCCAATCTAAGCAGACAGGTTAGTAAGCAGATAAAATTTTTCTATTACTATATCTAAGGCGATTTCGCCCACCAAAAACCATCAAATTAACTCTCAGACAATTCAAAGCAACATTATCTCGAGTATCAACTGAATTTGAGCGATTTTCTCTGGAAAAAAGTAATTTTCTAACCAGTTTTGAATAAAATTTTCAAAGTCACACTGGATATCCTTTTTCGGATTTCTGTAACCGTATCCCCCTCGGGTACCTAGTAACGAATACCCCCCCCCCCCACCCCTATAAAGAAGTAAATCAACGGTTAAGCATATTAGAATTTTATACCTAGTAACGAATCTTGTAAAAGGGGGACATAGTAAAAGAGATCCCCAAAATCTGTAAATCACAAAAAATGGCCTCAATACTTCTGTACAACTTTAATTAAGTTTTTTTAGGTAACCGAACGGAAGTAATTAAAAGGGGGATATAGTTAAAGAGATCTCCTTTTTCTGCCAATCAAATTTGAGTATAGTGAAGTTTGTCTGCTTAAAGACTTGCCAGCTTATGCGATTGGCTACTTACTGGCCGCACACCACCTCAAATGGAGCAACTAATTATGAACGGTACGGAGGTAGAGAAAAATATTATGAAGCAGAGGTAGGAAGGTTTCCGTCGCGATATTGATAGGAACCTCTATTTGCGAAGAAAACTATCTCTCAAATTCCAAAACATCAGCACTATTCCATCTTTATCTCTGATTTCTGATCATAGCTGAAGTGGTACTGCGCAATATAGATGCTGATGCGTGAGGCGACAATTCTTCGCAAGCAACAATTGGTCACTGGCGACCATTGGTAGTAATCAAAGGATTTAGTATTGCAGGATTTAGTATCAAAGGATTTAGGATTTAGATTTTTGATTTAGTATTGCACAGAAACCAAACTGCCATGTTTTAGCGGGTGTAGGATTCGATATCGAATTTTAACCGAACTACTAAACAATGAGTCTTGATTGTCTTGACACGAGCTATCGCTTTTCATATTTACAACGAATTGCCGCCTGCGACGAGTTGTCGCCGTGCTATATGTTGATACTGTACTAGAGTTTTAATTAAAAATTAGTGGAAAAAAGCCGACTTGCACTGCGAGATCATTCCGACGTGATCAAGCGAGTTAGAACCGACTTGTACTGCTTTTATAGGTCGACCCAGGCGCGGATCTAGGAATTTCTCGAAGGAGGGGGGCGGATTTTCAAAAAAGTATTTTTTTTTAGGTCGACCAAATTGATTTTTGAGCTCTCCCAAACACCTATAAAGACCCTGTTTTGGCCAAAATTTCTGCACCGCAGGCAAAATTTTAAAAAACAGGCCAAAAATAGCGTTTTTAGGCATTTTTTGGAAAATTTCGACCAAAAAATCGCATTTTTTTGGCGCGCGCTCCCCCCCTAAAAATTAGTATAGATTGGCGCCCAAGCGCCTTTAGACATATTTTAAGGTCAGTCAGACAAAAATGGATATCTCAAAATAGTACAATGGGGGGACCCTTTGGGTCGGAAGGGGTCGAATCCCTAAGGGGGGCGTCCGCCCGCCCCCCTAAATCCGCTACGAGGTCGACCAAAGCAAATTGTTTTTTTTTCTGAGCTCCACTAAAAACTAAAACTCTTCTAAGAATGCTTTCTGCGCCGTAGACAAGTTTTGAAGAAAAAAAGAAAACATGACAAAAATGACGTTGTAGGGCACTTTTTGGAAGGTTTCAACCAAATTATTACGTTTTTTTGGTTCGCGCTCTACCCTTAAATTCGGTCAGGGGCATATTTAGGGGAGGACAATATCCCCTTTTCAGGGATTCGACACCCTGCCGACCCAAAGGGTCCCCTTTAGTGTTTTTTAAGAAACCCATTTTTGGCTGACCGACTCTAAAAATTTTCTAAGGGCGCCTTTGGCGCCATTATATACTAAATTTGAGGGGGAGCGCGGGCCAAAACAATGCGGTTTTTTGTCCAAAGTTTTCCAAAAAGTGTCCAACACACAGCTTTTTCTACCTGTTTTTTAAAAAATTTGCCTGCGGCGCAAAAAATTTTGTCAAAATACGGGCTGCTAGTTTCTGGGAGCGCTCGCAAAATCGATTTGGTCTACCAAAAAAAAGTCGAAACTTTTTTCATCTGCCCCCACCTCGGGAAAATCCTAGGTCCGCCCCTGAATTCAGTATATAGTGTCCACCTTCAGAAACATTTGAATGTTTGTCAACCAAAAACCAATGTCGTAAATTAGTATCATCATAGGGGCCACCAGAATTGAAGGGGGATCCTAACTATTTCTAATGAACAGCAAGTGTGAAAGATTGGTGGCCTGTCACGTAGCCGAATACCCGGTTAGCCGAAAAAAATTAATCCCGGATAGCCGAAAAATAAATTCGTTCCCAAATAGCCAAAAAAAATCGTTCTCTCATAGACAAAAAAAAACAATTCATTCCCGGATAACCAAAACAATCAAGTTGGGCGAGTTCACAAACTTTCAATAACAATTTCGAACTAAAGCTACTGGCGAGAACGCAAAGGCAAAAATTTTGGCCTCCCTTTTGGTACGGGCAAAATTTAAAATTTTGAGGGTTATAGTCCGCCCGCCCCCCTAAATCCGCTACGAGGTCGACCAAAGCAAATTGTTTTTTTTTCTGAGCTCCACTAAAAACTAAAACTCTTCTAAGAATGCTTTCTGCGCCGTAGACAAGTTTTGAAGAAAAAAAGAAAACATGACAAAAATGACGTTGTAGGGCACTTTTTGGAAGGTTTCAACCAAATTATTACGTTTTTTTGGTTCGCGCTCTACCCTTAAATTCGGTCAGGGGCATATTTAGGGGAGGACAATATCCCCTTTTCAGGGATTCGACACCCTGCCGACCCAAAGGGTCCCCTTTAGTGTTTTTTAAGAAACCCATTTTTGGCTGACCGACTCTAAAAATTTTCTAAGGGCGCCTTTGGCGCCATTATATACTAAATTTGAGGGGGAGCGCGGGCCAAAACAATGCGGTTTTTTGTCCAAAGTTTTCCAAAAAGTGTCCAACACACAGCTTTTTCTACCTGTTTTTTAAAAAATTTGCCTGCGGCGCAAAAAATTTTGTCAAAATACGGGCTGCTAGTTTCTGGGAGCGCTCGCAAAATCGATTTGGTCTACCAAAAAAAAGTCGAAACTTTTTTCATCTGCCCCCACCTCGGGAAAATCCTAGGTCCGCCCCTGAATTCAGTATATAGTGTCCACCTTCAGAAACATTTGAATGTTTGTCAACCAAAAACCAATGTCGTAAATTAGTATCATCATAGGGGCCACCAGAATTGAAGGGGGATCCTAACTATTTCTAATGAACAGCAAGTGTGAAAGATTGGTGGCCTGTCACGTAGCCGAATACCCGGTTAGCCGAAAAAAATTAATCCCGGATAGCCGAAAAATAAATTCGTTCCCAAATAGCCAAAAAAAATCGTTCTCTCATAGACAAAAAAAAACAATTCATTCCCGGATAACCAAAACAATCAAGTTGGGCGAGTTCACAAACTTTCAATAACAATTTCGAACTAAAGCTACTGGCGAGAACGCAAAGGCAAAAATTTTGGCCTCCCTTTTGGTACGGGCAAAATTTAAAATTTTGAGGGTTATAGTCTTCTTTAAGTTGCTGATCGGCTGGCTCGTGAGAATGATTCGGATAATTTTTTCGAAATAATCTACCACAAATAATCATTGGAGAGAATTGAGTGATATATCTTATTAACGCCCTTTTCAGTCGTGATTCGAACGACGTTTAAAAGTTTCAAACTGTGTCGAGAAAAAATGTTTTGAAATTTTTGGTTTTGTCTTAATTCGAGTGAATAAAGCGAGCGAGCAGGCTTACAATAGTTTATTGTAATAGCATGAAAACTTACTCATTATTGCTCAAAATTTGTGGAATTTTATTTCAGGGTTATCAGTATCAATTCGCTCAATTAGTTGATCTGATTGTGCGTTTCGGTATCTAATCTGTTTCAATTTCATTAATTTGATCCAATTTACTTGCATCACTTTACATAAAAAGCTTAACAAAAAATTAGAAAAAATCATGCGTTTAAAAAGTAGTCGCAGAATTCAAAAAACGTCAAACCAATGAAATCTCGTTAAGTTATTCGCAGTTTTGTTGGCTACTGGTCTGCGAAAATTGAGGGATTTTTATTGGCCACTCAAACTTCGTGACGAATTTTTTCAATTTTTTTTAGTTGAAATTTTTTAGTTAAATTTTTTTGTTACAATTGGAGATATTTAGTTTTTTTCGGCTATCCGGGAATGCGGCTCCATGGGTACGCATCGAAAGATTATGCGATTATATAAGCGATCACATAATATATGATTTTTTAATGAAGTACTAAAGTGAGTAAAGTGAAGACCTATCTTTCAGATCCAGGGACTTAAATCTATAGATCTAAATATCACACTTGTGCTTTCGTCCTTGCTAAATCGAAGAATTTCGAGAATTCATGGCTCATTTTTTGCAAGATTTAAGTTAAGACTCGAAGGTTTTTTAATGATTCCACTATTTCTTACCTTTGATGTACGTTTAAGACTTCTTCAGAAACAACAAACGAGTTTTTTTGTTTTCTTTTATAGTAAATTTTGTAACGCATCGACAATTAATTGAGAATTGAATTAATAAGAATCAGATACAATTATATTCGAAATAAAACTGATCGACAAAACCCTCAATCATTAATTTCCTAGGGAGCTGTGAAGAGAAAGTTAACTTTGTTGACGAAATCAGATTCAAGTAAAAATTTCTTATATCAGAATTTTTCATATTATAATATATAGGCTAGTAAATGAAAAAATATCAAGTGCATTAGGCGTGTAGGAATAAATTTGCGTCTGCTTTTTTGCTGCTTCTTTTTGCGTAATTTTTTTATATTATATTTAGGAGATATTTCCAATTTATATGAAGCTATATATCCAGTGGTTTTGAAAAAATAAAAGATATATACGAGACTATAAAACGATGTTTTATTAATTCATTTTGTTTCAATAAGCGATCTTAACGACTATAAAGCAACCGTATTTATCTGACCCTATTTTTCGAGGTCAGAATAAAAGTGGGAGGGGAATCTCGGAGAATAAAATCAAAGTCCCTGAATAAAATAAGCCAAGCAAAAAATGATGAAAATAAATTTCATGTAAGGCAGGCAGCTTTATGGATCACATAAGAAAACTGATATCGACTAAATTTAACAGAATAAGAAAATCTCGAATCAAAACCAAAATACTAAATTTTGACCCGAGCAATCCGATCAGAAATGATTGTACCAACTTAGCTTTTGTCTAGCCGTCGTGAAACCAAATAAAAATTCATAATGTCGGGATAACAATATCTTTTGGTTCAGAGTTTAAAGGCAATTTGACCAAGTCGGTCAGAAAAATAATCGAAATTTCTAGAATTAGCGAATAGCAGAGCACTTTCTTAACTTTCAGTCAGTCTGCTGAGGTTTGAGTTAAGTTGTTGTAATAAACTGGCAAAATACTACTAAACTTGTTCAGTTTAGTAGCAAACGTAATTTTCATCTAGTTTAAGCTTCATATTATAAATTGATGTTTTACACAGGTTTGGAATCAATCTTACATTAATAATATCGGCAAATTATGAAACTACAATATTATATGAAAAGACATAGAAAGAAAAGCAAGTTTAATTTGACCAATGTTATGTAGTAAACAGCTACTCGATTTTATGTTTCTGATATGAGAGCAGAAAACTACGATCAGATTTGATCAGCTCTGAAGAAGCAGAATGAGAAACATTAAACGTATGAAAATGAAACGTTATACGTTACAATGATAGTAGCAAACTGCAAGTGCATGAAGATATAAATATAAAAGCAGAGTTAAAGCGTTTTTGTTGGTTTCTAAAGAGAGAAATTTATAAACCAGAATAAAATGCCATTCTTTGTTTTTCTTTAATGTATAACAATACTGCCTCTATATGCATTTAGCCTTGCCTCTTTGCTTGCAAGTGAAATTAGATTTATAGAATTAAAAGAGACTACAAAGAGAAAGTATAAAAAATGCCGCCTTAACAATTTCTCACATTGATAATGTATAAATGTTGCACTTGTTTTTGTGCTCAGATAAATATTAAAAGCAGCAAAAAATGTTTAACAAGAGAACATTTAAGTGATTTGTGTTTGTAGAAATACACTTACTCTTGTATTTATTTTATCGGGCTAAAAACCTCGATAAAATGAATTTTTACTTATTAACATATTGTCAAATTCCGGTTTAATAATATTATGCAACATCGAATACAACATTTTGTTAAACATATCTTAGTCAAATAAATACGTATTGATAGAAAAATTAACTGATTAAAAATTAGGATGACTAAATCTTCAGATTCATTTTTGTAATCACGAACAAAAAAATTTTTTTTTTGTGCCGAGAATAGCAAAAAACTAGTGTTTGTAAAAAAATACTTGTAGTCGTTGTAATTTTATAATTCAATCGGAAGAGGAATAATTCATTCAAAGCAATCGGGTGGCCTAATAAATTATGCATAAACGGTGCAGAGGCATATAGTATAAATTTTATGAATTTTTAGGCCTAGTAGGTTACTGGATTAAATTAGCCGATGTATTATATGAGATGCCACACCAAATCCAATTTCGGCCAAGTGAGATCTGGCCAGTCTATTCCGCAATGTTTCCCGCCTACGAAACCCGGAGTTCAAAGTGAAATTAGCGGCGGGCACAGAACAAGTGGAAATAATATCCCCATTTATTTGATTGACAGGCGGCACGACAGGCGGAGAGAGAACACAGGGACGCGAAATATTTAGGGGTATCTGAATATAGAAAGCTCTGGAAACAGACCACCCACAAATGGTGTCCGGCAAATAAGACGACAGCTGTTGAGGCGACAACCGTTTTCGATGGGACTTTAAGACGTCGCTACACTCAATTCTACATGTGTTTCTGAGAAATACATAAACGCTTAAATTCGAACATGTCAATATAAATGTTTTAACGGCGGATATTCAACAACTCGCTATTAAACTAAGTCTATGAAAAAATACTGGTCATACAAATTTCATACATTTTGCTAAAAATTTGTCGTCGAAATTTCAAAGAACTTTTTTCTTGTTTTGGCATAAACGTCGGTGTATCGTACTAAATAAAAAAGAACCCCGGATATACTAAAATTGAGAGGGAAGCGCGCGCCAAAAAAACGCAAGCAAAAATTTTTTGGTAAAAATTTTCCAAAAAAGCCTAAAAACGCCCTTTTTGTCCTGTTTTTGGGTCTTGTGCACAAAACGGCCCAAAATAAGTACGTATCTCTACATCTTGATATCTTGACATCAATATATGGTTGAATCTGTTTGGTTCATTAGCCAATCATATGCAAACAACCTGGTCCGGCATTTCAATTAAAATTTAAAGCTGATAAAATTATTGGCCGAAATGACCAAAACGATAGAAAATTTTTCGCGTTGAAATCATTTTACTGAACTTTTTTCTTTATGTATAGTTTCACAAAAAACAGGAAGTTAGTTTTATTATTTGACAAAGATTCACATTCTCAATTACTTCGGCTAATATTTTTTTCTGCTAGAACAGTTGATTGATATGCCTGATAGCCAATCAACTTTTGCCGCATTTATTTTACCTAAAAGATTTAAGGATTTTGATTTTGGGCTGTTTTGTGCATAAGACCCCTGTTTTTTTTAATTTCGCCTGCGGCGCAAAAAATTTGGCCAAAACAGTCTTTTTAGTGCTTTGGAAGAACTCGGAAATTCAATTTGGTCAATCTAAAAAAAAGGTCGACAAAATTTTCGAATTTTTTTTTGGAATCCGCCCACCCCTCGAGAAAATCCTAGATCCGCCCCTGATTCAAAGTACAAATGTAGTGAACAACGTTGATCATACTGATTCAGTTGGTTAAGAAAATGCGATCATTTTCAATTTTAGCCGATTTTTAAAGAGGCCGAATTTTGAACAAATGTTTGAGAAAATGGAATTTTTTTCCTCTAGTAATTTTCTGGTTTTTTTTCTGGTCTGGGTAAGACTCTGCAGGTTATTTGGGATCTACTTAACATTCTCTCCCCCCCTTTCAAGAAAAGTTGGAGATTGTTAGGTAAATTAAAATGGTTGATTTTTCGACCAATTATAATGCAGCAAAATTCGAATTCTCAATACAAGCTTTAGTGCTAATTTACTGTTTTTAGTTATAGGGTGGAGATTCTTTAGAAGATACAATAGGGTGGGGGATTGTTAAGTAGATTATTTGAAACAAACTTGAATAGTTTTCCGATAAATATATATTTTTTTGTTATTTCGACTCATTTTGCCAACAAGTCGACTTGAAATTCCCAACAAAACATTTTGAAATGGCGCTGAAATTTGATTGGCTATTTCTGGCAAATATTTTCACTTCAAGATATTGAAAACTGATTTTTGAAAGGAAAAATTAAAAAGACCCAAAAAAAACAATCCTACATTTTTCGTATATGAAAGTTGTATGACTACCCTTTTTTTGATGGCGAAGTTTTTTTTGTTTTTTTTTTCAAATGCAAATTGAATTTTGTACTCAAAGAAACATTTTCCAAAAAAAGTTTTTTGCATGCAAAACTAAGTTTTTGTGTCCATAATGTAGTCCTGGATGCACAAAAATTGGAAATTTTTCCGTTTCACAGGATAACTTTTCCAAAAACGCTAAAATTTTCTATTTCTTTTGTATCGCATATTTATGTATGCCTTGATCATAGTCTGACAAAATTTGAACGTTTGATACTTTCAAGTTTGATTTGATACTTTCATGTTTAATTTGCTTAAGAAAATCTTATTCAGTTCAGATCGTTTCCAATGCATTGTCAATGCAAGACGATCAAACTTTTGTTGACTCTAATTTTGAGTAAACCATGGTTTTTGCCCCTCGTGTTCGGTTACGAAAACATTCCAAAAATTTAGATAAAATGAAGTTTAAAAAAGATCAAAATTTTTGTTTTATGGAAAAATACTATTCAAACAATTTTCGTATATGAAAATTGAGAATCATTAACTAGAGACCTTTCATGCTTGAGAAGTGTAAGAGTAGCAGTTTTCCATGATATGGATGACTGGAATTTTAATTGGCTTGCTGGAATTGTAATTGGATTTTCGGCTGATTGGCTTTTCGGTTTGTCGGCCTACCACCGTTTTAACGCTCATTTGTCACTTTAATGTCATTTTAGTGCCTTGTCGTCTTTTTATCCTGTCTTTTTATTTATCTACCACCCACCCAAATGAAATGGGACGACTATCCGAATCGAGGTGCTCACTTTATGTTTCGATTGTATCGACTGAAAATTGGTATGGTTTGACGGTCTCGGACAAAATTCCGCATGTTTGAACCGTGCTTGACCCAAGCAAAATTTTTTGATAGTCTCAAACACAAAAAATTGTTTTCGGATAAACCGTACAATCCCCCCTTCAGTCACCTACCGTAGTAGAATGCTCTCCCCAAGCATGTACTACATCTGAAAGTTTTGATTCTGTATGAAATATGCATTTCATGAGACTGCGCAAATCAAATTGATGTCTACATTTTTTTTATAAGTGATTGCATTTGTATCGCTAGTAATTGCCTAGATTAATGTTTCAATTCAATTTTTTTTTCAGAAAAATGCTCAATTTTGAATGAGTCTAGGCTATTCTCAAAGTTAGATCAAGAAAAATCCAAATTTTCTCACCCCCCCTAATTTGATTTAGGGGGGATTGTACGTTTGATTCTTGTTCTCGATTGTGCTCGACCAATTGCATAATTGTTTCGACAGTCTCGGTCAAATATGTCGTTTTTACGACTTTCTGGATATTGTTTTAACCGTTTACGACTCTATTTGACTTTCTCGATCATAAATTGCGCTAAATTTTGATAAACATTACAAGGCGAAACTGTGCTTGTTCTGAAATGTAAGCGCATTCTACAACAAAAACGCTCCTTTTATTCTTCTTTTGTTCTTTCATCATTTTTTCTTTGATCGTTCCGGCAAAACTTTAACATGTTTAATGACTTGTCTCTGAAATTCAGGAAGATAGAGGCGCAAAACTGTGCTCCTATCCAGTGCACAGTTTGGCCTCGTAAGAAAATTTAAAAAAAAAACAAATAGGTTTAGTTACCTTTCCACCAATTTGTTTTCTGGTTATATTCCAATCGGCCAAAGTTTTAGACAGCTAACTTCCAATAAAAGAATTGTGGAAAAAGGAGGTATGTTTCGACCGTAATTGAGGTATGTTTAGAATTTTGCTTGATTCAAACCTCTGTCTCGACTCTTCTTTTTCAGTCGAGCACTGAGATTTGCTCGACTTTGAACGTCTAAACATCCAAGTGAGTACCTCGACCCGGGTAAAAAGCTGCGTGCGGCTCAATAGCTTAAGAAAGCAGTCGAAGTCAATTGTACAAAGTCTCCCCCCTAAGTGACTTACCGAATAATGACCTCCCCAAGCGTGAAACAAATCTGAAACATATATATGTATAAAGTATGCATTTCGAGAAAAAACACTAAATTAAAAATGGTTTTCACAATGTTTATATGGGACTTGAATAAAATGATTTTGTTTCCTGAAAAGATCATATCCCCCTAAATTGACTAGGGGAGAGGATATTGTACGGCTGATTTGGCACTCGGAGTTGGATTGATAAACAGTTTTATTCTAGTTTACGGCCCAAATTTTACGTCTTGGTGGTTTTCAAAACTTATCATAACGCTTCAATTTGATCTGTTGAAATACGATTAAGCCGGAGAAAAGCGATCATTACAGGGTCAATTTTTGTTCCAACGAATGAATGCAATAAAGAATTTTGTCGTCATGTGTATTTTGACTTTTCTGTTTTTTCCTTTTCTACGCAATATCAGGTTCCACAAATAATCATCATAATAGGACTAGAGATAAATTACATAAAAGTCTTTTAAGTAGGATTGGGTAAAATTAGATTGCAATATATTTTTAGCTTGCAGTTGGGTATTGCAATACCACCTGTTCAAAATTAGGGTATTGCAATTTTTTTTGCATAAATGAATAGTT